AATTTTTTAAATTACAAAACTTTTCAAATAATTTTTACGATGTAACAGATTTTTTTTCCAAACACTGTAACACAAAGTTCTTACATAACAAATAAAAATGAAGATAAATGCACAACAATTTTTGAATAAAAAGTTAAATATCAGTAAAACACTAAATTCTAAGTTGTTTAAAATAAAGTGCAAACTGTGCCTTTGGAAAAGATCAGTCTGCTGGTGTGTAGAGCCTGTTTTTTCTTTCCACTTGACTGACTGGGCGTTTGTGGGGAGTGCAGGGTTTTCTTCATATTCCAAAACGTGCTTCGTCTCTTCACTATTACTGTCGCCCGGCATCATTTGCAGATGATGTTTTTCTGCTTAACATCCGACTGCTTAAACCCAAACCAGGTGCATGTGACCGACGTCGCGCCGGTCTTCTTTATGAGAACCTCCTCCCCACGTGTAAGCTCCGTGCTTGCAGACACTGCGATGCTTTTGACCAAAACAGGCGCAGCTTGATGACATCATCAACATGTGCTATCGCGGTACAGCCGGTCTTTAAGTCTGACCTTATTAGCCATCTCTGGGCCCAAACTCCGCTGCAGGTTCCAAAGTGATCAGCATCAGCGTTGCTGCTTTACCAGGTTTAACATCCAGGCATCCATGAAAACACAATTTATTACATTTACCGGAGTTAGAAGTTAGCAGGAAGTTAGCTCGCTAGCTTCCACCTAAACATGATATAGCATGTTCTGACTGAGAGATTTCTGAGAAAATTCAAACGTACAGCTCTGCTATCACTTCCAACATAAATGAAGACAGAAAACTAAACAGCAGTGATGTTTGTAGGGTTACTGAAGTTGGGCTAGCTGCTATATAATGATGTGCTACGTGATCGCTAGCTACACAGCTATGTTAGCATAAACACAGAGAAGCTGGAGGATGAACGCTAACTTTGTTCCCCTCAATAAAAGTTAACGTGAGGGTTCCTGATGGTTAGAGACAAATGCAATCGCATGGCAGGATGCTGTAAACGGACCAAACAGCAGCCTTAATAAATGCAGAGTAGTTTGGACGTGGAAGCAAAATTTATCACGTCATCACTTAAAGACCGGATAGTCAAAATCTCTACTGGTGGCCAAATTCATATGGTTTCTGAATCTGAAGTTGAATAAAATTACATTATTAAAAAGAAAAATGAGCTAGCCCGGTATTACTGCAGCAGGAAGTTACTTTCCGTTACCTTCCCAGCACACGGGCACAGTTAGCCCCAGTACTTCATAAACCGGTGGGTTGTTTCCAGAACATTACAGTCAGCTGTAAAGTGTTCATATCTGCACATATTGTGTTGGTAACTGATGTTTTTCAAAGAAAATGCTCCTGCACCGGCTGGGAATCGAAACCAGGCTTCCTGTGTGGCAGGTGAGAAACAACCAATGTCTTGAAGAAGGGTATCATGACACCTGCTCCTGCACCTAAGGTATAACTGGTTTGAGGTTTGAAGACCTATAATTTGATATTTTATGTAAGTGATGCCAAGCAATTTTGTGGCTCAGAAAATGCTACCATGACTATCTAAAATAAGGTCAAGCCATCTAAGGTTCAGCATTCTCCCCTGTAGGCTTCAGCTACAGTGCACCCCTTTAAACACATTAAATTGCCTTCTCACATTACTGTGAGAAGGCAGAGTGTAATAAACTGGATTTTCAGCTGCATCAAAGTCGGCTTAGTTGTCAGAGGGTGACACACTGGTATTGAATATTTTGTTTTTTGGTATCAATGGATGAACTAAAGGAGCTCAAAAGCACAAAAATCATGTAAATTAATACACCTGCACTACAGTGTTAGGTGGACTTTCGTTCCTTTAGCTGCTTCATTTCTTTAATATTTTACAGAAGGAGTTGTTTGCATGGCATCCCAGAGACTGTTTATTTCACAGTGAGGAGCTGAAATGTTGGTTAATTTGGTTTCCTGTCAACAGTTCCCACAGTCTAAACAGGAAGTCTCAATTTCAGTGGTCACCAAATAGTTTGGCGACAGAAGTATGGACGACTTAACTACAGATCTTGTGCCAGAATGTTTTTCCTCCACTCCACAACTTTGAGTGATCTGAGTGATCAATGTCTTTAAACAAAAGGTTCCCAATATCCAATATATATAAGGACTAGTTTAACAGGCACATGGGTCAATACATGAGTGGGCAGGGCTGGACTGGGACAAAACAATCAGCCCGGGCACTTTGACCAGTGACCGGCCCACCGTGGTATTAAAGCCATAAAGCCTTTATAATAAACTTGAACCTCACCATCCTCACTATTCTGCTATTCTACACAGTACTTAGCAAAAATATAAAACAACCAGCAAGCATCAGCTGATAAATTCTAACAACAGCTGATCAAGCTTAAACGTGCTGCTGCTATTTAGCGCGACATCCGCTGGTTTCCTGTTTCCGGCGCAGAGAGAAAAGCCGATCAGCTGATCATTGATCAGTTTCATGATTGAATTAGCAACTTTCTAGCTGAAGTAGTGCGGGACAAACCGCGTTCCTTTTCACCTCAACTTTAAAGTCCGACCTCCTCGGCTGTAATTGGTCCAGCCCAGAGTCGATCATGACCAAATGACTAATCCACCACCTTCATTTATACCGTTGAAAAAAAGAAAAGAAATAAAATCGGCCCATAAAAACAAAAAATCACGAGCGGCCCTCCAGGCAAATGCCCGGTACGCCCAATGGCCAGTCCAGCCCTGTGAGTGCGGCACAGAAAGGGATTGGCAAGAATACCAGAGGCGCAAAACACCAGCTGCACCAGGACTGCAGGACTAGGTGCACCGCCTGGATTGATTACAAGAAGGACTATGACTCAATCTTGGAACGCCTACACCTATACAGGATCAACAGGAGCCTAAGAGCCTCCATCAGGAACTCAACGGGGATGTAGCGGACAAAACTAAAGGCCAACTTCAAGCCCATAAGTCACCATCAAGAGCCTTACTGCCCATCTACATGTGGATGTCTATATTTTGCTAAGGTGAAATCTGACACCAGAATCTTTTTCACACCTATTTTTACTTAAATACTTAAAGAAAGAAAAAGACTTACATTAAAACTTGGACAGCTTCGAGTGGGGTGGAGATCTCCATGTGTAATCTCAGCCGAGTGTCTGTCACTCAGGATCCCATAAAGAGCCTGATCCAGGCTTTGGTCTTCATTCTTGCCTCGCTGGCATTTCTGGTGCTGCTTCTCTCTGGTTTGCGTGACATTATTCTTCTTCCCTTCATAGATTTTTGAATTGTGTTTGTGTCTGTGGTAAAAGAAAAAAATGCAGAGGTCAGATTTAGAATTTTGGTTTAAAAACACATTTTTATTCCTCATACGCTGAAATATTATTATTCTTATTTTACATCTGGTCATTCTTGTGTGAGCCTTTTTCTCTTGGTCCTGTTGGGGACTTTTGATGCCCCCCTGACATTATTGGCAATGGCACAATCAAGCTGCCAATTATTATCTAGCTCACTGCCCTTGCTAGCAAGCTGACAGAATGGGCAGCATTTGTCTGGCTGGCCCATACAGAGCCTGCCTGCCCGGCTGGCTGGGCTGGATCAGCGAGTGCATCCTGATCCCTGCTTACCAAATATTAGAAAACAATTCTTCCATAATAAAAGTGTCATTTGTAAGGTTAGAAAGTCGGGTAACACTAAACTTAAAATAACATGCAGTCAATGAGCAGTTCTCTTATCACAGTCACAGACGATCTACAGTGTGGCAGATGTGTGTTTGCAGGAAACCCCAGTCTAACTGACAACGTCTGTGGTGTGTCTCATCCTGAGATCTTCTCAAATGTGGTCGTCTCCAACTCTTACTCCACCTCCCCTCTAATTACTGACGGCTGTTTACCCACCAGAATTCCTCTTATTTAACACAGTTTATACTGATTAACATTCAGGAATCAAGTTGCTACTTCCTTTAATGCGCTACAGATGCTTTCATTTCAGCAGTATCTGACAGTGACGTCGTACGTCTTTAAGACTCGACGAAAAGTGGCAGCTGAGTCGCCGACCTGTGTCCAAGAGCCAAAAAGACTTCACTGACCACATGCAACCAAAAATAAGACGGCAGCTTAGCGGTAATGCGGTGTCGAGGATAGCGGTGTGGGAAATATCACAGAGAGAACAATAAAATGAATAATAACAGATAAGGTCTGCGACACAGATGCTAAGACTATTTTAGACAGACACCCTTCTGCAGAGCTGAGGAACGTTCTCTTGATGTAAACATCACTGGAACCAGAGGATCAAAGACTCGTGACGACTTATGGACATATGTTAGAGCCTACAGATGGTACAAACCAATGTTTCGGTGTGGTCGTGACTCTATACAATAATTCATATTTTTACTGGTTTTCTAACGTCTAATTATGCAAGTTGTTTTCCGTTGTCTGCCATATGACCTCGCGTCGTTAGCTTCGTCCACCAGTACTTAACAGTTCTGGGCAAACTGTTAAAAACGAAAGAATGGACCTTAAAAGACTCGTCCACTAAAATTCCTCAAACAATTTAAGACCTACCATAGAACCAAGTCCGCCAGAGCTTATATTATATGTTTACATGCTGTGGAGCCATTTTTGGGAGCATTTCAAGTTGCTATACATCAATACAACCATTACAGCCTAAATTTTAATAATATGTCTGCATTAAGTGCATAGTAATTACATAAATTGCATCGGATCGGCGAAGCGTGTTTCTGGAATATTATGTTTTTGTTGCTGCAAGTGCTTTTTATGCAGTTTTTGCAAAGTTATATGTGGAAGGAAACTGTGACCGAGGACAAGCTGATGGCATAAGATGTAAGTACTACTCCTCCGGTTTTCTAATGCAAAAAAAATTATTGCGCTAGCTCACGTGGTTGCAGAGCTACCGGGATTTAAAAGTAGTTACGCAAAACGGAGCGTGCTGCTCTGACCGGCTTTAAAGGGTTAAACAATTTAAGTTAAAAAATAACATGCTAGCTGCACAGCAAACCTCCAAATGAATCCAACTGTTCTGTGAAGCATGTTTCGAGCTGATTCTGGTGGCCTAGCCCTGACCCTTGACCCCTGCTCATCTCAGTGAGATATATGCGGATAAGTTGTGGAAAGAGAGTCAAAGGAGCCGTATCCAGTAAACGTACAGAATCAGTACGCACATACTGAATCCAATCTGAAGATGAATTCTGGGAAAATTTGTTTACAGGGAAAAGTAAATCAGGATCAAAGTATTCTTTAAAGTTGCACATGTACTATAAGACTGTAAGACAAAAGAGAGAGCAGCGATTAGCATGTGTAAGCTACAAAACATTAGAATATCCTCACTTGAATGATTAAACTCTCTCTTCCCCATGGTGCTGATGGGAGGGGGGCTGGGTCCTGTTAGCTGACAGCGGGTGCTTCAGTGTCAGTCTAAAAGTCAAGCCTACGTTTCTTAGCCATTAGCCACATTTAGCTTTCATTGCATGTCAAACATAAAACTGCTGTGTAAAACTATCTGTGAATTAATGAGGCTCGAGTCAGGGAGCTAAACGTGGATGAACGAGTTGAAGACATCATATTTCTATAATTTTAGAGATGCAAAAAATCCACAGGTTTGAAAAATTCTTCACACTGTCTCCTAAAGTGACGGATTTTATTGCAAGCACTGCCGTCTTCAGCTGAAGTAAGATACTACCTACATCGGCGGTCCCCAACCCTGGGCCATGGACCGGTATCAGTGAGTCGTTTGGTACCGGACCGCGAGAGTTGAGGCTCGGGTGTGAAATTTAACTCTGTTTCCTGGGGTCTTTTTCCCGTGTTGTAGCTGTGCGTCTTATTTTGAAAGAAATGTTCACATGTTACCATAGCGACCAGAGAGCATTATAGGGCAGAGAGGAGGACGTTACTCTCAATGTTGTTGGAGCATTTCAGGAGGACGCTGCTAATAAAGTTACACAGTGAATTCACGTTTATTATTATATTTACAAAATACCACAGTTTTCGTCTCGGTCGTATCATTTTATTTCGTTTTATTTATCCGCAACATCTGAAAGGCCGGTCCTTGAAAATATTGTCTGACATTAAACTGGTCAGTGGAGCAAAAAAGGTTGAGGACCGCTGGACTATTTCACATGTGTCAAAGTCAACATCCAGCCCGGCGTAAATTTATATCCGGCCCGCGAGATCATTTTATACAGATGTACTATTATTGTTATGCATGGCCCGGCGATATGAGGCGCTAATAATATACAAACTACAGATCCCATAATGCAGCGCTGCATCCTCCTTGGCTAGGCTAACTGGGAACTTTCCGTCAATCACGTCAAACTTCTGTTAGAGGCTAGCTGCTCACAATGGTGGAGAGAAACGTTGATTCTGAAAGCAGAGCCTTTCAGCGCCAGTGTGAGGCTGAATATATGTTTACAGACATGCTGGTAAAGCCGTGAGTCTTATTAGTGGAGCTAATGAAGGAATTTAATATAAGACGGCACTACGAGACAAAACATCAGGATAAGCTGAAAAACCTAAATGAGCCAAATCAGCCCAGTACCACTCTGAAGCTGCAGGATGAAGCTGTGCGACGTCGTGTGTCCAGACAAAACGCAGAGTTTGGCAAATGTGAGCCTGAGCAGAAATACGATTGCTGATCGGTTTGTGAGATGGTCACTGATTTAAGAACACAGTTGTGTGAAATAAAGCAAAAACTTT